TGGCCTAGGGGTTCACATACTTTTTCCACCCTGCACTGTGAATGTTTACATGGTGTGTTCAATAAAAACATATAATTGTTTGTGTGGTATTAGTTTAAGCAGACTGTGTTTGTCTATTGTTGTGACTTAGATGAAGATCAGAACACATTGTATGACCAACTTATGCAGAAATCCAGGTAATTCCAAAGGGTTCACATACTTTTTCTTGCAACTGTACATATCTGTCACTTTTTTATTTGTTAAGAAAAAGCCAATACAAATGTATATCCCTCACAAATTATGAGTACACAGTCTATTCTGACATATTTCCGGCAGAGCTTAATAATACTCTACGGTACCATTTGACACCCAGAATACATCAAACTGTGCCTGACTTGATGAGGTGAAAATCGTGAGCTTGCTGTAAAAAGCCTTAGTCTCAGTGGAGATATTGAGCCTCAAATATCTGACATCATCTGACAAATCGTTAGTACTTCCTTCTTAAAGTTATAATCCCTAAGACTGCAGCACTAGCTGAACTTGGTGTTACTGTGGTAACACCAAGTGGGGTCTGATATTACACTCCTTGCAGCTACTTTGTAATACAAATACAACAGAAGAGCGGCTGGTATCTGTTTACAGTGCAACCAAGCAATGTTTAAGATGGAGGTTTTTACACAACAGCTGGACATGGTAAGGTTTTTGTTTGCTGAGAAATTAAAAGGGTGCAGCCTGTTGCATCTTTCTCATGTATCCTGTTGGTGCTTTACAATAACAGTAAGACTGTCCTTCACATGTTAATCTAAAGCAGCCGCAAAGACTATATGCAGTATGATTTTCTCAAATGTACAACACGAATGTAATACAGCTCCTTGACTTTGAAAGTGAATGGTGAGACTGTTATCAATAAGATATGATTTGGATTACATGCATGACTTTCACTGTGAATCCCCAATATAGTGAAGGGATTGTGAATCCATCGAGGGGACTTTTAAAATGAAAAGTTTTAAATTGCGTGTTAATTACACTCAATGGCCACTTAATTAGGTACACCGGTTTAACTGCTTGTTAACGCAAATATCTAATCAGCCAATCTCATGGCAGCAACTCAATGCTTTTAGGCGTGTAAACATGGTCAAGATGACCTGATAAAGTTCAAACAGAGCATCAGAATGGAGAACAAAGTTGATTTGAGGGACTTTGGACGTGGCATGGTTGTTAGTGCCAGACCGGCTGGTCTGAATATTTCAGAAACTGCTGATCTGCTGGGATTTTCACGCACAACCATCTCTAGGGTTTACAGAGAATGGTCCGAAAAAGGGAAAATATCCAGTGAGCTGCCGTTCTCTGGGCAAAAGGCCTTGTTGATGCCAGAGGTCAGAGGAGAATGGCCAGACTGGCTCAAGATGATAGAAAGGCAACAGTAACTCAAATAACCACAGTAACAACCAAGGTATGCAAATCTCTGAACGTACAACACGTGGAACCTTGGGCCAGATGGGCTACAGCAGCAGAAGACCACACAGGGTGCCACTCCTGTCAGTTAAGAATAGGAAACTGAGGCTACAATTTGCATGGGCTCATTCAAAGTGGACAATAGAAGACTGGAACAATTTTGCCTGGTCTGATGAGTCTTGATTTCTGCAGCGACATTCAGACGGGAGGGTCAGTTTTAGGCGTAAACAACATGAAAGCATGGATCCATCCTGCCTTGTATCAACGGTTCAGGCTGGGGGTGGTGGTGTAATGTTGTGTGGGATATTTTCTTGGCATACTTTGGGCCCCTTAGTACCAATTGAGCATTGTTTAAACGCCACAACCAACCTGAGTATAGTTGCTGACCATGTCCATCCCCTTACGGCCCGTCCACACAGTGGCGTGCGTTGAAGCTTGCCGGCGGGCGTGTCTGAAACTCGACCAACCACCAATCACATGAATCTCCTGCCCCTGACACACAAGCAGCAGTTTGATTGGCTAGAGCTTGTACTGGCATATGATTCGATTGGCTGACGCTTCTGCCGAGGCTTCAAAAGTTGAACATTGCTCAACTTTTGCAGCAAGTCATGCCAGCAAAGCTCCGCGTCGCTTTCCGCAATGCAGTTCGGCGAAAAGTGACGTCACCCCATTCAAAGTGAATGGGGAAGCTTTCAAGGCATGCCACTGTGTGGACGGGCCGTTATGATCACAGTGTACCAATCTTCTGATGGCTACTTCCAGAAGGATAACGCACCATGTCACAAAGCTCAAATCATCTTGAACTGGTATATTAAACATGACAATGAGTCATTGTACTCAAATGGCCTCCACAGTCACCAGGGGCCTCATTTATATGTGCACCCATGTTTTAGATCTTTGAGTTCATTTCATGAAAAATGGGAGCAAAAACAAAAGTGTTGCATTTATATTTTTGTTCAGTGTATAAAAGGAAACCGGCGTAGGAAGTGCCGTACGCACTTTCCTCGCCGGTACGCAATGTTTTGTGAATCGGAAAATGTCGGAACATTTCTGTACCTATTTTTTGGATTTCTACTACGTAAGCAACCTTCCCACGTGAATCCTACGCATGACGTTATAAATGAGGCCCCAGATCTCAATCCTTTAGAGAGCGCCTTTGGGATGCTTGAGATCAAGCGATTGGCATCATGGACGTGCAGCCGACAAATCTGCAGCAACTGTGTGATGCTGTCATGTCAATATGGACCAAAATCTCTGAGGAACGTTTCCAGCATCTTTTTGATTCTATGGCACAAAGAATTAGAGGCAGTTCTGAAGGCAAAAGGTGGTCTAACCGCCGTTGTTATTTCCTTGATGCGGTTGGCATGGGTAGCAGCTTTTCAATTAGTCATAATGCACATTGTTTACATATTACCACAAGAGCAAATTCACACAGTATTTCAAGATTAATACACAGGTTTTAGGTGCAGTTCATTGGTCACAGAATGAGAGAAGTTGTAATAGTTCTTATTGCAGTGGGGAAAAAATAAATGCTTGGTGTTTTTTGATAGCGAGTTTGTAATAAAAGGGATTCAACTGATGGTAGGGGTAATTATATTGAATGATTTATTGAGTATGCGCGGCAGACTGTGCTGTAACTGTTATGGATGAGGTGCTCTCGATGATGGTAAAACTGAAAGAAGAGTCTTTCTTTACTTTACGTTTTTGTATTAAATAGGTAAAACAGTGTTTGTTGGGCTTTTATAGTGTTGGGTGTGTAATGATGTTACATGCGAGGCTGTTGTCGATATCTATGCCATCAATTTGAATATGTCAGTGATGGTTATGGGTTCTCCTGAGACATGTAAAGGGGTTTTGGGGAGGGGGCCGAGCATGAAATCTATAATGAGTCCTTGTGTTTTTGATGTGTCGAGCTGGAGGTTGTGATGAAGGCACCAAGTGGCTGTTTAGACTACCTGTTCACGCTACTGGTCTTGGTTGTTGTTGGTTTTGAGACCAATTATGGTTGTGTGGTGCATATTTAAGAATGTGGCTTTGTGTAAGGGTAGACGATGAAACCCTTGGGGGCCGCCTGTGCTGTGGCTCAGTGGCAGAGATGAAAGGCAATTTATCTTAACCCTCTATATTCTCCTCCACAGAAAGCTCCTGGCACAGTGACATATGCAGGGGTCAATATTCACGTCCAATAAAGACCACTGCATATGCCACTGGATCAATAAAAACTTACCTATCTGTTTTTAGACTTCATAAATCTTCATGTCCTGATGTGTTGAAGTGTACTACATGGGCTGCATTATAATGTAAGGGAAATGGATATTTTGATATTGCCCACATACTGTAGGCCTGTGTAATAGCCACTTAGCTACACTGAAGCCATTTGCCAAAATGGCTGAAATTGATGTTTGCTTTTCAGAGTATGCATAAGTGTCATTTTGAACCCCAAAGTGATGATGATAAGTAGGCTACAATAGCATACATTTTAAGTAGTGACCTGAGGTTGTGGTTGTAGCTCAGATGCACTGTTATGTCTAGTTGGTATTATAGGAGAGATTAAGCCACAGAAAGCCATTTGAAGAGGCCTAGTAAAGACAGATTTGCTATTGCGAGTGCAGGCCTACTTAAGAGCAACAATCAGGGAGAATTCGGGTTACTCTTCAAGCACATAATTCCTTAAAGCTTCCTCTTTGCCGAGCAGCCCAGTTCTGTGTCTGATAGTGCATCAGGACACGGACTGCTTGTTGATGGGGATTACTTGGATATTATAGGTCAGCTCCTCGGGGGATCTCAGTTTAATTAAAGAAGCTACTCATTAACTCATCAGTGTTCCACCTACAGTATAGTGGCCTTTTCATCTCACCACATTATTGTTCTGCTGGGGATTGTGGGCCATGTAAATTAATAACTAGTGGCTGATAGCATATGATGAATCTTCTAACAAAATGCTCCTTCTTGGGGAAGAATTCATTATCATAAATGTACTGTTATTTTTGTAAATACGCGAGTTCCACTGTGTAAAGAAGAAATGAAAAGAACAAACACAACCAGTAGTTGTTTTCCAAATAATAATTCAAACCTGAGGCGCATCACTTGCATGAGATTGAAATACTTGATATACAAAAAAAGGAAGGTGAAATAAGACTACATTAGAAGTTCTAAAATGGAATAGCTCATGTTTACAGTTTTGGATAATGTTGAATGTATATTGTATCAAAATGTGTTCATATTTCCAAAGAAAAATACATTTTGGATCATGGTCTGTATGATAATTGTACTATAGTTCATTCTCATCTTTATTATACTGACAGTTGGTATACTGTATGTTGTGTTTTAATAAATAAATCATTGATATATCTTTTTGTTTGACATTTAGACCTGTGTGTTTACTTTTAGAATGTAGATCCATTTTTTAAAGGCTGATACAAATAAACAGCAGAGACACTGAATGTTTGCAATTTCCCCGGTGCTCCAGTGGCACAATATATCCGTTTTTATATTAAAGTTTTTATTACACTTTATATGATTTCCATCTTTTCACTCCACCCTTCTGTCTCCTTTGTTTCCCGCAGGGCAGTGGTTGGGCACAGAGAGCTGTTGCCTGATGATAGTAGAGACAATATCACCATTTTCACCCGGATCCTAGATCGGCTGTTGGATGGATACGACAACAGGCTACGTCCAGGGCTGGGAGGTGAGCAACACTACAGGATGGATAAATCACACACTGCATCACTGTTTTAACTCTTGGAAAAAAGAAAATGGATGATTGGGGAGGCCACATGAAATTGTGCATCTCTCACTACAAGTCATATACACTTTGATCTTTGATAAACGCTGCTGCAAACAGACCTGTCAGTTCACTTTTTGCAGAATATGTTTGGCCTTTGTTGGGAGTCTTTGTTTAATCATGCCCGAATGGCAAATAAGCACATGTCAGTGGAAATCCCTCTAATTGATGCCATTTCATCCATTGCACCCCCAGGATAACAAACTGCATAGTAGTTAGTCCACATGCTCAAGCAGGCTTTGCCATTTTTCAGCCAGCCAGCTGGAATGGTCATTTCTGCTCTGCTGCTTAATGCTGGAGCCACGAGCGAGGCTATCAGGCTGCGGAGCCACCAGGCTGGATGACCTGGACTCCATGACAGCAACCGCAGAGAGGAACCAGGCACAAGACGTTAATGTCAGACTCTGCCTCTGTGCCGAGGTTCACTTCTCCAAGGGCCAGGAGCTGCTGAAGCCTTGGCCATTCAGGGCTTTCAATCATGAATGTTTCCCTTTGTAGAGCAGTGGCTGAATGTACAGGCCTGAAACATAGCATGCTTCCATCCAGACCCCAGAGACTTACAAGTGGAAACACAGGAGCAACCACAAGAAGAGGGAGGCTTGCATTATGTGTCTTTTTATTTCCAGGAAATTCTCACTGAGCCACTAACACTGGTACGAGAGGACTGAAATAATTCAGCTTGGTTGAAATATGACACTTTATTCATTGCACAGCAGAGCATTTGAGATTAAATTATGATTAGACGTGTTTACTTTAATTTATGTTACACACTGAGGTCAGCAAAAACTTATATAAGCAGGTCTTTTATGGTATTTGTTTGTTTGTGTGTTTTCATGCTGTGTGTTTTTATTCCTTTTATTATTAACTGTGAAGCTCTTCGGATGCTGCTGTTTCTGTAAAGTTCTGTATAAATAAGGTTTATTGTTATTATTGCGCATACCAACAAACTGTGGGGTCTGTATAATGGAAGCAATACTTTTTTTTTTAAATGGACGGTTCTAGTCTAACTCTAGCTGATATAACATGAGCCTAACCCTGGAGTAGCAGGACAGCATGATCGCATTTCAGTTGCAAATGGATCTATTCATCTGTTTCAAAGTAGGGAAATTTACATCGTTACAAAGATGGAAATACAAGGAGCAAGGTCACATTATGAGACAAACAAATACTTTTTCTCATTGACTTACATTGGGAAACAGATGTCTGTAAATCAGTATGTAATCAATTATATATTGATTATTTTCTAATTTAAATCATTAGGCAAGAAAAGGCAAGTTTATTTATATAGCACCTTTCAACACAAGGCAATTCAAGGTGCTTTACAAAATTGAAAGACATTAAGACAAAGGCATTTAAAAAAAAAGATAATAAAAGAAACATTAAAAGAAAAAATACATGAATAAAAAGTACATGAATAAAAATTACATGAATAAAAAGTTACAGTGCAGTTTAAGATATGAATAGTTCACACAGAAGTTCCACTTTACTGATGAACACAACGGCTCAGTTTCAATTAAAAGCAGCGACAAAAATAAAAGTCTTCAGCCTGGATTTAAAAGTAGTCAGAGTTGCAGCGGACCTGCAGGTTTCTGGGAGTTTGTTCCAGATATTTGGAGCATAATAACTGAACGCTGCTTTACCATGTTTAGTTCGGACTCTGGGGACAGAAAGCTGACCAGTCCCTGATGACCTGAGAGATCTGGATGGTTCATAATTTAGCAGTAGATCAGAGATGTAATTTGGGCCTAAACCATTCAGTGCTTTATAAACCAGCAGCAGTATTTTGAAATCTATTCTTTGACACACAGGAAGCCAGTGTAAAGACTTCAGAATAGGAGTGATGTGATCCACTTTCTTAGTGTTAGTGAGGACTCGAGCAGCGGCGTTCTGAATTAGCTGCAACTGTCTAATATATTTGTTTGTGAGACCTGCAAAGACACCATTGCAGTAGTCGAGTCTACTGAAGATAAAAGCATGGACAAGTTTTTCCAAATCCTGCTGTGACATTAGTCTTTTAATCCTAGATATATTCTTTAGGTGATAGTAGGCTGATTTAGTAACTGTTTTAATGTGACTGTTGAAACTCAGGTCAGAGTCCATGACTACACCTAGATTTCTGGCTTTATCTGTTGTTTTGAACATTGCACACTGAAGCTCAGCGCTAATTTTTATACGTTCTGACTTGGCTCCAAAAACCATTACCTCAGTTTTATCTTTGTTTAATTGGAGAAAGTTCTGACACATCCAGTCATTGATTTGTTCAATGCACTTACTCAGTGTTTTAACTGGAGCATAGTCTCCTGGTGAAATTGTTACGTAAATTTGTGTGTCATCTGCATAGCTATGGTAACTTATTTTGTTGTTTTTCATTATCTGAGCCAGTGGTAGCATGTAGATGTTAAAGAGAAGAGGCACCAAGATGGAGCCTTAAGGAACCCCACATGTCATATTTGTCAACTCAGATGTGTATTTACCTATAGAAACAAAGTTGTTTCTGTCCTTTAAGTAGGATTCAAACCAATTTAGAACTGTTGCCGAAAGACCCACCCAGTTTTCCAGTCGGTCTAGTAATATGCTGTGGTCAACAATGTCAAACGCAGCACTGAGATCTAATAATACTAACACTGAAGTTCTGCCACTGTCTGTCTTTAAGTGGATGTCATTGAAGACCTTTACAAGAGCAGTCTCAGTGCTGTGGTTTGGACGAAATCCTGACTGGAACACATCGAAACAGTTATTTAAATGCAAGAAATTACTCAGCTGTTGAAAAACAACTTTTTCAATGATTTTACCTAGAAATGGGAGGTTTGATATGGGCCTGTAATTGTTCATTACTGAAGCGTCTAGATTATCTTTCCTTTACCTTAGTTGGAGCAATGGCATCTATAACGTTTTTAATTTTTGAATTAAAATGATCTACTAGCTCATTTACTGAGATGTTAGCAGGGGCAAGTGTGGAAGAAAAATTCTGAGTAAACATTTCCCTAGTATTTTCAGTTAAATATCGCTTTGTGGTTACCTCTTTTTAAACATTTTTGTGAACAGAAATAGAGCTCTCAAAGAAAACACAGGAATGATCAGAGAGTGCAACATCAGTCACCACAACCTTAGAGATATTCAGACCCTTTGAGATAATTAAGTCCAGAGTGTGCCCCTTATTGTGCGTGGGCTCCGTCACATGCTGAGTCAGTCCATAGCTATCAAGAACACAAAACAGTTCTTTAGCCCCTCTGTCCTGGGGGTTGTCAACGTGGATGTTAAAATCACCAACAATGACTAGACGGTCAAAGTCAATACACACTACAGACAGCAGTTCAGTAAAGTCATCAAAAAAGCTTGCACAGTATTTTGGTGGTCTATAGATATTTAGGAACAGAGCTCGAGAGGAGCATTTCAGCTGAAGGGCCACATATTCAAAAGAAGCAAAGTTCCCATAAGATGTCTTCCTGCATTGAAGGGAATCATTGAACAGAATAGCAACTCCACCTCCTTTCTTATGCATTCTTTCCTGACTCATAAAACTAAAGTTGGGAGGGGTTGATTCGATAAGAACAGCTGCACTGTTATTTTGTTCAATCCATGTTTCCGTTAAAAACATAAAATCGAGATTGTGCTCAGTGATAAAATCATTGATTAAAAATGTTTTACCTGCCAAAGATCTGACATTTAATAAAGATAGTTTAAGTTTGTTGAATACACTATCAGTCAGATTTTTTGTGGCAAGCTGTGGCTGACATGGAATCACTTCTAAATTTGATAAACTCACACAAACTTTTGAGCGCTTCCTGTGTCTAAGCTGATTCACCGCTCTTAATCTATTACCTATCAACACAGATATCGGCAAAGCTACTGGCAGGCAGGGCCCCGGCATGTCCTGGAAAGAGTTGAGAGTGCCATACGCCCTTGAGCCTGGACCCAGCATATATCAGTCAGTGTTTGAGTTTTTTACACACACATTCTTATCAGGCTTCGGAGACAGCAGTCTTGAAGGGGGGGAGGACGTTTTGGTCCGGATGATTGTGGTAGGCATGGTGACGGGGGTGTTGGTGCGCGTCCAGGGGGAGGAGGTGGTTGACGTAGGCACGGTGACGAAGACGGGGGAGGTGGTGCGCGTCTCTGCTTCTGTGATTTTGATGGGCGTTGTTGAGGAGCGGGGGTAAAGGACATGCTGCCAACCCTGCGCATCACCTTAGTTTGGTTATTGAACTCCAGGAAGGAATCGGTGCCAACCCTCTGTATCTCCTTCATGTGTTCAGCAATCTCCAGGAGGGTGGGCGAGGGTGGGCGAGGGTGGGCGAGGGTGGGCGAGGGTGAAAGGGTGAACGGAAAGTAGAGAGAGCTGTGGGGTGAAGGAAGAGTGTGTCCTCAGAGGTGATAGGGGGGGTGAAGGGCGGTGGAGACTCCTCCATTCCATAATCAAGACATTCCTCAGGCGGGTGCAGTGATAGATTTTCAAGGTTTTCTGCGCGATGTGTTGTGTCTTTCTCTTGTTTTGATTCCTCTTGTTGCTTGTCCTTGGCAGAGGGAACAGATTGATGACGCAGGCAGTTGAATATGTTAGAGATAAACAATTTCACTCCTGACTTGTTCAGGCAAACTCCGTTTTCCTTAAAAAGATGTCTGCGGTCCCAGAAAAAGTTAAAGTTGTCAATAAAATGCACAGAATGGTCAGTACAAGGCAAGGCAAGGCAAGTTTATTTATATAGCACTTTTCAACACAAGGCAATTCAAAGTGCTTTACAAAAAATGAAAGAGATTAAGAAAATGGCATTTAAAATCAGTCATTAAAAAGAAAAGCTAATAAAATAAACATTAAAAGAAAAAATACATGGATAAAAGTTACAGTGCAGTCAATTAAACATTAAAAGAAAAAAGTACATGGATCAAAGTTACAGTGCAGTCTA